TCTCTCTCTCTGTTTTCCGTAGTGTGCATAAAAAGACAAAGTTTTTTTTTTTTTTTTTTTTTTTTTTTGTAAACTTGTAAATTTGAAGAAAGTATTCAGAAAAACTCTGATTATTCTGTGATTTAGCAAATAGAAATATTTTTGGTCAACCTAAGTGACCTAAAGAAGTGAAAGTTTAATCAAATCGAATGTTCAATGATCCGTCTGAGTCTGTTTACAGTGGATGTGAATATCTGCTCTCAACTGCGTGAAGGAGAAACAGCGTCTGCTCCTCTTTCTGAAGGTCTAATAGATTCACCCAGACTGACTCAATCCCTAATCTCCCGAAACCTGCCTGGCAAATAAAAATAGGAATTCGCATTCATCACTTTTTAGGTTTGGGTGCATTGTGTCCTCAACCAGGTGCTGACTGTCCCGCTGCGAACCTCTGTTTGACAAATCTGAGTATAATCCACTAATGTTCTTAATCCAAGGGGGAGGAGGGGGGCACATTAAAAAATGGATGAGAAATTAATCTGCTGTCAGGTCTGTCAGGTATATTCTGTCAGTGCTGGTGCTTATTTTCAACCGATTCCTTCTGGGTGAGCCAATGCGACCTAAACACCCGACCAAAAATCAGCCTGCCAAATCCCTCAGGACACCCTTTTGTCAAATGTTCTCTTCTCTGTCCTTTTGTCCTTGTCTCGGAGAGATTTCATAAAAGCTGATGAATTTTGCAAACAAAGCAGCTGGAGCACAGATGAAATAAACAAAACAAAACAAAACAAAACAAAAAAGTTAGCTCTTCTGTGTCTCTGAGCTGCTTTGAAGCACAGTGGTGAGGAGGAAGAGAGTAATTGTGGCTTCAGATAAAGGGTCTATTTTCCAGCTGCCCTGGCAGACAGAGGTTGAAACTTGCTCCCACTGTGTAAATGCGTTTCTGTGTCCTCCCCCACAAGGTCTCAAACATCAAGTGTGTTTTGTTTCAGTGTTTGCCATATCTTTCTGTGCCATGCCATTCTGTGCATACGTCTTGCCATAAACGGACTAATTTCATTCATTCCGGATGGGTTGATCAAAATAGACCCATAGTTTGCTGGGTTGGTTTTTTTTTCTTCTCTTTTTTTTTTTTGCTTTCCCCCTTTCAAGCTGTAATCTGTGCAAAAGGCTGAATTAAAGCGGGGCTCCCCCTGAAGGAAGCCCTCTCTGTTAAGATTAGAGAGGAGGTGAGAGAGGAAAAACGGGAATGATATGCCTGCTGTGCTGCAAAGGGATTGCTGGATGAACTGTCAGGTGAAGATTCTGAAGGTTTCAAGGAGAAAATATGTGCAAAAAAAAAAAAACAGTTGAAGTTTAAAAAAGCTTGGTTCTGTGCACAAAAAATATATATTTTAATATAATGCGATTTAGAAGCAAGTGAAATGAACAGAATAAATCAATTTAATCTTGATTTTTAAAATTGTTGTGTCTGACATCGACATTTATTTCCAATGTAGTTCTCAGTTGAAAACCTTGACATTTCTCTTGTCAGAAGGCGTTGCATTTACCAGCCAAACACAACGCCTTTTGATGACAACTTCTTAACAAGATTTTTATCCTTGCATTACATTGCAATTTGTGATTATATTCTGACAAAATGTGCATAAGCCCGAACAGGTCATCAGTGAATGCAGACACGTAACTGTGCTCACACCCTTAAGGCAACTGAATCCCCAGTGAATCTGGGCCTGAGAAAAGAATCTGGAGTATCCTGAGGAAAACAAAATGCAATGTGAACAATGGAAATGTAAACTTTCCACACAGAAAGTACAACCAATGACCCTGTAGCAGTGAAGCAAGCATCCTGACCAGCTTCCCACTTTAGTGCACTAAATAAGATTTGTCACCCTGGACAAAAAGGCAGCACCTCTATCTGCTACACAACAGAAAAGACTAGTTTATCCCAGTGTGTCATGACCTGCTCTCCACACTGTCCTGAAAGCAACAAAAGGGACTCACAATATTATTTGTTAAGCTTAGTCGTCCACCTTTCTAGTTCCTATAACAAATATCCAAATTGATCAGATAGCTTAGGCTTATTTTTTTTTAGGTTTCCTGTGTATACGACTGGTTTTGCCTTTCTTAAATGTGCTTCAGTGCACCTCTTTTTGCTTCATTTTCTGTATTAACAGTTGTTTATATTTATTTCACAGTTTTTGTTTTTTTTTTGTTTGTTTTTTTCTGTTGGCCTGGTCTTTGTTTGAAGCCAACCTGTGACAAATTTACTTTCACATGTCTGGTCCGTGGTCCTGCGGCACCACCCAACTCCCACAAGACTCCCATCCGGATGACATTCTGTCAACAATGTCTGGAATGTATTTCCCTCTCGTCGAAGGCCAGCTGTAAAGACCCAGAGGCTGCTCTAAATCATTACGCTGCTGCCACCATTCTTCACTGCTGGGCTGATATTTTAAACTTAAAGTTTAAGTAGTTCCCAAAATATTGACCAAAAGGCTTCGAGGAGTCAAAGTGCTTTTGGCTTGCTTCTGGAAACCCAAGATGTGAGAGGTAAACTCCTGGACGCTTGCTGTGTCACACATTGTGCACTTTATGTACTTATTCATTTTTCTCTTAACATGGTAGGAATCTTATTTTGACCTAGTCATGCTCAACAGCCAATAGACCTTACTGTGGTAGAATCAGTTAATAAAACTCCAAGTGTTTTAACTTCAATGTATTCTCAAGTATTTCCAACAGATGTCCTGTTTGTCACATTAGTGCTAAAACAACAAAAAAAAAAAGGAAGCTGCTGCACTGCCATAAATACACACATTTATTAGAAAATAGGAAAACAGTGGATTTTAAATAAAACTCAAATGCAGAAGCAGTCCGTCTAGTTTTTTTTATTTATTTATTTTTTTTTGCTTACTGTGCCTCATCTTTCAAAATTCTGCTTATTTTGCTGCCTCAGCCTCTTCAAACCAACACCTGTCAGATTATATTTTTGAAACTTAAAAGCTAATAGTCCTACTTGGCTTTGATCTCTGCTGACCGGAAAATAACCTTACACCTTCCTGAAAGTCAGACAAGAGACCTTTATTTTTAGTGATAGGGTATCTGGAGTGTCTTAGGTGGCATTTTTAAGGTTTGTCCCTGTTTATGCTTATTTTGGTGCCTTTAAAAAACAAATTAACTTTCAATGCATGTAAAACACAATATGAGTACTTTAAAGGTTTTAATATTCCAATATGATAGTTTGCATTTGAATTTAAGTAATTTGATTCTACAACACTCCTTCAAATTTACTAAATGGTCAGAAACTGGAGTTGCCTGACTTTCATGTGCTGCACATTTATTCTTACTAACATGAACTAAAGCTGGGCTTGTTCCACTGTTCACATTCTGAATACTCTTATTCAGAACGTGAACAATGGAAGAAGGTACTTTTCTTTTGTACACCACCTAATAATGAGAACACCTCTCTTTTAATGTGTTGATTTTTTTTTTTTTTTTTTTTTTACCTCTTTTGACCTGTAAAATATAAATCGATTTAAGAAAACCCGAACTGGGAAGACGGTCTGTAGGCTTCTTGCCTCTCATTTTCTTCTTGTCATATCAAACTTGTTTCCAGCCCTTTTGTACCGCAGTGATTTAAGTTTCCAAGGCATTCAGAAAAAAAAAAAGTTTTATTTTTGAAATAACTCCTATGTGCATGGTGCAATCACATTCTTTGATTGGTCTCTTGATTTTCATGCATGCATAACTGGTTTCATAAAATGTCCCAACAATTTTCCTGCTGTACGAATCCGTTTGAGTGTTTCAGAGAAAAAGGCTGAGTATATACAAGAACTAGAACAAGAACATTCTTGGTTGAGCTCCGGATAAACAACCTAATTTTGTGAGAGTAATGTACTATTCTGGAAACGGTCATTTTGTTCTACTGCGTTCCACCGTATGCTGTTGAATTCATGGCTAATGAGGATGACAGGGTGCTGGTTCACACTGACAGTGATTAATAGGACTGCTTTCGTCTTCTTTTCTTTTTGAGTTCACGACAAAATCTCTGGTCCCTGCTGAGCTGGAGATGGATGTGCAGGTACAGCTGCTCTTTGATTTCTCCCAGCTTTGCAGAGTCATCTTTGTGAGGCAGGTGGGGAGGGGTGGGCAATGGAGGCGGGTGGGGAGGGAGATGGGCGTAGAGACGCCGTCCTTCCCCCAGAACAACTATCAACAGCTTCAGATTTTGCATTTCATCTCCAAAGGTCTTCATTTCTTTCTCATATCTCCCCCAACCCCTCCTCCCTTCTATGTTGCGATTATACAGCTGAACACTTTGTGTCTTATTATTTCTCCCCATCTTTTGTTTCTGACCTTCACAAGTAGCACAATGCCCTCTCCTCCTTTTGTTCTGGCTGCCTCCTTTGTCAAATTAAAGAAGATGGGATGAGCAAAGTGCACGTATTCAGAGGCATGATTAGCTGTTTGTTGTCCCTGTAGAGTAGAGCACATTAATGTCACACTAACAGCCTGTGAATGCACATTTAAGGGCTGGCGCTGGTTTAATGCACGCTGCGTTATCTCAGAGCAAAAGTATTGATGTGTCTCAAGGAAGCAGCACTAGAATTGCAACACATTGCAGAGTGATGAGATCCTGCACCAGGTGTGTCCTGCAGTAGTGGGTGTGGCTAACATCTTCACTGCAGCAAGACACAACTTCCACCGGATACCTCTGTGATGAAGAAAAGCCACAGCAGGGAACACAAAGTACCGCACCGCACACGTTTCTGGTGTACACGAATCCCATTTTTATTTTCCACAGAAAAAAAAAATGTTTTTTTCTTCTTCTTCTTCTTTCTGGTTCAGAAGGTTACATTTAAAACCATTCTATGAAAAACTGTAGCACCAGAGCAGATTGTAATTGCCCATTCTTTGACAAAAATTCAACTTTGTGCTTTTTCTTTTCAGATTTGATCAGCTGTGATTGGAGGGAGTCTTGTTATTATTTTTTTTTCTTTAAAAAAAAAAAACTAGCACTTCATTTCTTTCCCCAGACGTTTCCAAAAATAAAAGACAGGAAAAAGAAAAAAAAAATCTGAATATCTTAATTTCTTCAGTCAAACCACATCAAATACATTTGGAGCAAACAAAATAAATAAAATAAATTGGCCAGTATTGAGCATAATCCAAGCAAGGAATCAGCTTTCATGATTATTACTATCATCAGATATTTATATATTTATATATATTTATATTTTTATATATATATCCATATGTATACACATATTTATAATCTATATAATGTCTATGTACAAGTATGGCACTTGATTACACGAAAAGCAAGAAAATAAACACAAATAAAAACAGTGGGCGCTTTGGTGTGTCTTAAATTAAGGAATTCACAGACGTTAGCGTTTTTTTGCAGCAAATTTACCAGATACTATTTTGCAAGTTATAGCTAGAAAGCAATGGAATGGTTACATATGTTAAGGTCAGTGGTGCAACACAGGCAACAAAAACAAAAAAGAAGAAAGAGTTGACCAAGCTGATGTATTTTAGCTAACCAGTAAGGATTTATATATTTATATATATTTTTATATATATATATGTATAATGGGTATATATAAATCTGGTAGGAATATGCTATATTTTCCCTGTTTAACGGTGCCATATAAAAGAAATATGGGTGGAGAAAAAAATGTCAGCACATTTGGATACGATCAAGCTCTCATGTGTTCACCTCTTTTAGTGCAAGTGTTTTTCTTCTTTTTTTTCTTCTCCTTCTTCTTCTTCATCTTCTTCTTCATCTTCTTCTTCTTCTTTTTCTTCTTCTTCTACATTTGCTCTTTTCAAGTTCAGCCCAAGAAAGAGTAAATCTGCGAACACTTCAACATGGTCTCCACGCTTTAAGTAGAAACGTTACTTAAAAAGTTGCATCAGTGCGTTAATAAAATAAGTAAAAGTAAACCAACGTGTGATCCACGTTCGTCTCGAAGTCCGTAAAGTATCACCAAATCAAACAGAAAGTAAATTAAGTAAATAAATAAATCTGCCCACTCTTTAAAATCATGACACAAGTTTTAGGCGTGCGGAGCTGTCCATCATGTCCATCATGGGTTGATTTTTTTTTTTTTTTTTTTTTTTTTTTTTGTTTGTTTTTGTTTACACGTATGCAGAGTCACTGGACTGCGTGCGGCCAAAGTTGGGCACGCTCATCCTCGGCAGGTCCTTGTTTCTGATCTCATAAATGGACTTCCGCCGGGCTTGCACGCCCCGCACGGCCGTCTTGATTTTCCTCCAGCCCAGGTGATTGAGTTCGGCCAGGTTCAGCACCACGCAGAACCCGCTGACCGCGAACATGAAGACCAGAAACACGGTCTTCTCCGTGGGTCTGGACACGTAGCACTCGACGTCTTTGATGCAGGGGTAGCGGTCACATTCGTACACGGACGGGACGTTGAACCCGTACAAGAAGTACTGGCCCACCAGGAAGCCAATCTCCAGCGCGTTTCTGAACACCACCTGGATGATGTAAAACCTGGAGATGCCCTCCTGACGCCTCATTTTGGACTTTGTAGTCCTCATGGCCGAATTTGGGATCTCCTTCACCTCCAAGCAGTCCGGCTCGGCTTCTTTGGTGGAGTTCTCAGTGTTCTGGAGTACTCCGTTCACAATGGTGTTCTTAATCTTTTTGCTTTCGTCTCGCTTCAGAGAATCTTGATCCTTATCCAGCGTCAGGTAGATCGTGGAGTACCGCCGCTCCTTCTGCTTGGCCGACTGGTGCACAGAGTACGTGATAAAGCAGAGGCTAGGCGTGCACACCATGATGATCTGAAAAACCCAATATCTAATGTGTGAAATGGGGAATGCCTTGTCGTAGCATGCCTGGTTGCAGCCCGGCTGTAAGGTATTACAAACAAACATGGTCTGCTCGTCATCATAGACAGTCTCTCCAACTATCGCTACGATTAGAATCCGGAAGATGACCACCACTGTTAGTAGGATCCTAAAAAGCAAGAAAACAAAACACAACAATGTGAAAATATGTGCAATAAACGTCGTTAGTGTGGACGTGCTCGGAATACGACCCAAGAGAAGCTGCCCGGTGCTGAAACAGGGCGCTTTTTTTGAAAAAGAAAGGATCTATACAATAAATGTCGAAAGCAAACTAAAGATATGTAAAAAGGAGAAAAAAATGTGTGTAAAATAAATAATGTGTTCAGTGTATGGGTGTTTGGGATTTAACTTAAGGAGCTGTCCTTGGCTAAAACAGGGCGCTCTGGTTAATGAAATTTGTCTTTACAACAATGCAAAACGTAAAGCAAACACAACGATGGAAAACGAGAGAGCCCGACTTTAATTTGGGGATCTGTTCCCTGCCGAAGCAGGATCCCCTCCGAGAGAAGATAGGAGTTTCTTAAAATGTAATGTGTCTTTTGATCCTAGAAACCAAGCAAACAAAACATTTTTTTTTTTTTTTTTTTTTTTTTTTAAAATTTGGGGGGTTTTTGGCTTTTCGTGTTAGGAGCGCCCGGTTTTAAGTTAGGACTTTGTCAAATGCTGAAACGGTACACTGTCATGCAAAAAAATAAAAAAATAAAAAAATAAATAAATAAATAAATAAAAAAAGAAAGAAAGAAAAAAAGTGCTTCTTTTAAGTTCATATTTGTGTTTGTGAGCCTATAAAGCAATCAAACAAACAAACATAACCATGTGCCACTGTGTGCACGTCTATGTGTTCAGAGCAGATGTCCTTTAGCGAGCGCTCGGATTTAATTTAGGGAGCTGTCCAGTGCTGAAACGGACGCTCGGCGAAAAAATAACTAAATAAATAAAATGAATGTCTTTCTTACAAGAATACAAGCAGAGCAATGTGAAAATGTATCTTAACTATTTGTTCAGTGTAGGAGCGCCCTTTTGCAATTTTAAGGCGCTGTCCAGTGCTGAAACTGGACGCTCTCTGAGAAATGCGTTTCTTACGACGAATGTGATTTAATGATCATGACACGTCAGCAATCGACGTTGCCGTGATTGTACCTGTGTGAGCATGCTAATGAAGTGAGGCTATGTCTCTTTCTTGCCACCCTCCTCTGAGTGCATTACCACCACTCAAACCCAACGACCAGCCACCAAATGAATGAACGGATGAATGATCACACGAAACGGCTACACATGAATTTTAAGTTTAGACTGTTTGACTTTGCAGCACCATCCCAGGTTCCTAAAAGACAGCTGTCATCTGAGTTGAGCTGTCTCGTTTAGGAGGAAGACAAAAAAGGAAGCAAAAAAAAAATTGAAAGAAGAAGAAAAAGAAGAAGATCTGGGGAACAAGACAAGAAAAATCCACAACACAGACACGAAGCACCACTGGACACCACGGTACAGACGATCCTGGAGCCACAACACAGAAACGGGGGACTGGGGTGCCATGCTAAAGACGATCCTGGAGGCTGCTGCGTTTCTTCGGTTTGTTCTTGTCTGTTTTTTTTTTTTGTTTTTTTTTTGTACATCATCTTACCTTCCTATCATAGTAGAGTGCTGCTGGACAGCAGCCTCCAGGAGCCTCTCTAGTATAGTCCATTCCCCCATTTCTGATCATCCGGAGGAGACGACGATACAAGGGCACTCTGGTCAAATCCCTCCAAAGGAAAAAAAAAAAAGCACCCGGCTTAATTTCCCCGCACGGCCTCTCTCTGTCTCCCGATGTTCTTACACTCCAGAGCGTCCAAAATCAAGCTAAAAAACGCATCCGTCACTGGATGCTCCTATACCGTCCCCGCCCCCCCCCCCCTTCTGTCTCTCTTCGCGCTATCTGGTTGGTTATGAGCTGAGAGCGCAGCGCCAGTGAGCGTCCTGCTGTGTGTGCCGAGCGCTCCCACAACGCTGCCACACTGTTCCTTGTCATGAGACTCCGAGGGCTGATTACTGTAAGCCCTCCTATTTTCGATCTTCAGATCAGGTTGATTGGCTGTGCGCTGTGTCTGGATGGAGGCAGGTTGGATTTAATGTCTTGCACCGTTAATCCGCCTTTAAGTAGTATGCACCCCCCCCCTCCCCCTCCCCCTCCCCGCACACACACGCATACACGCACGCATACACAGGCACAAACACACACACGCACACGCACACAACCCCCTCCTTTGCGTCACGTACACAAAGACAAGTCGGTGTAGCTCCACCTGGAGTGCCAGGGGTTCTGACTTTTGTTTTTTGTTTTTTTTGTTTTGTTTTTTTTTTTTCATAAGGTTTTTTAAGGTTTTGGATCAGGTTCTGTACATCCTGCTCTGGCCTGGTTTGTTAAGAGTTGCACAGTCTCGATTGTCTCCACAGAGCAACTGAAACTGCAACCACTCTGTCTTGATCAACATGCTGTTTATTGTGAAGTGGTAGAGAAATTGCTTTAAACATTTTTTTTTTAACCAATAAAAATCTGAAGACTGTTCTGTATTTGTATTCAGCTCACATGAACCAGAACTTTGTCGGTTACAGTTTTTTGGGGCTGTGTCTCTGCAAGCTTTACACATCTAAACTAAACCACTCAGTTTTGAAATCCTTCCACCAATTTCCATTCCAGGCTGCTTGCGCTTTAACATATATACTTAATTAAATCTTAACTATTTCATCATAACTAATGTGTTTAGATGCATTGAACTCATCTTTGACCTTTGACCCAACTGCTAACTGGGTTCTCAGCCAGTATTGCCCCATATTTAGCTCCATCAGTCTTTCCATCAATGCTAAACCAGCTTTTCTATCTCTACTCAAGGTAAACTTGTTCACAGCATGATGCTGCCACCACCGTGTGTCACCATTGGTTAGTACTGTGGGAGTATGATGTTGATTGTTACTTCACCAGAGCAGACTCTTCTGCAACCTGTGTCCCTTACATGGCATGCAACAAACTTTGATCAGGATAAGGATCAGGATTGTTGTCTAATTTTCAGTAATAAACTGATGGACTGTATTTCATCGTGAGACTAAAACTGGTTGAATACTCGTGACATATAGGCTGCCAGTACAAGGCACCGCATCGCTGGCACAGGATTTAATATGGCCTTAACTCTAAATAAATAATGTTCCAAGTCCATCAGTCAGGAAGGAGGATTGTTCTTTTAAAAGATTCCTGTAAATGGGAAATTGTTTATCAAGATTTTGAGTTACTTGTGCAAAAAAAAGTAACTCAAGCATTCAAGCCAAAATAGTTCTATTTTTTTCTATTCTATTCTATTTTTACTCAACATTTGTATCCCATGGAGTCGGCTCTCGGCTAAATGGAGCCTCTCCTCTCTTTCTGGTAGAGAAAACAGCTCCCTCTTTTGCCCAGAGGTATCCCTCCCTATGTCACAGGCTGTTGGCCCGGATGGCAGAGCTGTTGTTTCCACCTCGAGCGAAGATGACGCTGTGGATACAGTGACAGAGTGAAAGTACCATCCGAGTTGTTAATCGCTTTATGAAGCGGCCTGCCTGCCTGCCTGTCTGCCTCTCTGCGTCTCTCACTGAAGTCTGAAAATAGAAGCAAAATATGATACTTTGCTCCATATAACACCCAGAGATTGTAACTTGTCATGCTGCACTGGGCTTACTCTAATGAAGTGTGCATTCAGTGCGCTTGTCTTTTCACTGCAGGTTTAGTTGGACCATCCGTCAGCTCTGGTATTTAAAGCCCGTCAAGATTTGAAAGCCTACCTTTGTAAAAAGCTGTGTTGTTAAACTTTTGTTTGTAAGGGGCTTTTGATTAAAGCACCTGCCAGATGTATGAAAATAAACCTAAACTGGAAAAGTTAGATTTTATGTGATGAGTCCCCCTAAAACTCAGTTCAAAAGAAAAACATAATCTCGTGTATCATTATCTCTCCATTTGAAACGACCTATGATGTTCGTATTTTGTGGCACATGCATAAAGTTTTGAAATGCCAGCAAAGTTTACTTTCATATCAGATTTAATTCTATTACTAATGTGGAATCTATGAAAAGTGAGGCTTTCTTTTTCTTTTTTAAAGACAGGCTTTAATTTGAAAGTCCAAACTTGCAGATCACTATAAAACCTACTTTGTTTATAATTCAATTTTTTTTAGTTTTATTTTTAAAACCTTAAAACATCTAAGATTATTAGATTATTCTTTAATTGGAATTTCGAAACCTATCTATGATCATTACAATAGAAGTAATACCAATGCTAATGTTATCATATTAATAACAGCATTATTAACTGTAATCTTAATTCTAAGCATTGTTATTGTTCGGAATATTAAGAGTAATGCTATTATTGCTGCCATTGTTCGGTTTCTTATTTGCTTTGTTCAATCCGGGGTTAGGGGTCACGTGACCCGGTGTTGTCGCTAAATGAATGTTTCTCATGAGGTGGCTGATCCTCTTCTCTCGCTGTAATCTTTTCTAATTCAAATCTTCAATAACCTTTACTCAGCCATCACGTGAGGAAAGGACAGAGCTCAGAGAGCCACTGCTGTCCAGGGTCAAGGAAGAAACAAGGAAACAAGCAAACAAATTCTTAAAAATGATTTATTCTGAAATATATACATATCCTGTTATAAATTCCAAATGCATAAACATAGCCTTGAACAAGATATTAATTGCTGGGAAGATAATAGAGGATGGTTAGAGAAAGAAAATAAAGTTCCTCAGAAGCACTTCCTGTGGACTATAGAGGGTCCGGCCTCGTCATATTCGTCCTTACTGATCCACATCTGCTGGAAGGTGGACAGAGACGCAAGGATGGAGCCGCCGATCCAGACAGAGTACTTCCTCTCAGGGGGGGCAATAATCTAAACCAAAGGCACATTTATGATGGTGTGAACCTGCCCCATACAATATGTAACAAGACATTTTGAGGAGAGTTGAATTACCTTGATTTTCATGGTGCTGGGGGCCAGGGCAGTGATCTCTTTCTGCATGCGGTCAGCAATACCAGGATACATGGTGGTCCCGCCGGAGAGGACGTTGTTGGCGTACAGGTCCTTACGAATGTCGATGTCGCACTTCATGATGGAGTTGTACGTAGTTTCATGAATACCAGCGGACTCCATGCCTGTGGATGGAAACAGATGAGTGTATTTTGGAATCATCTGTAGCAAGAAACACGCCACCATCAGCTGTCGGAACAGGCGCTGAGTGGGAGAGCTCCACTAGCAGCTGCAAACATAAATCAGACGGCTGCTTGTATTGTCACGAGACAATACCTGTGATCTTTAATGAAAACAGCCGTGCTCTGAATCCTATGAGTGTAAAGTTCTGAAAAACTAGCATTTAGTATTACTGCTTCAAATCTCATTCAGAAGATGCCTCCTTTCTCTAGGTGTCTAATGAAGAATCACTTTAAAATTAGGTATGTAAGCAAATCTCACACCAGCTCAGACTTTACATGAATTAAAAGAAAAACATTTTGCTTCTGAACCTTCTTGATCCTTGATGTAGAAAATATAGTTTTCTACTCAGAGCACCATTGTTTTGGGATGCATACGACTGAAATGCAAAAGAGTTAGCTGCATTTCAATCAGTGGGAATAAGCACTCCTCTGTGGTGCACATGGTGAAAGCAAAGAAAGAAAAAGTTGTTCATGCTGAAGAGCTACTTTAGTGTCTCTGAAAGCAGTGGGATGCAATTATCTCTTTTGCAAACTTTTAGATAATTAGACATGTGACTTGTCGAATGAATACTAACCAGAGATATCTCAATACAGCTTAAGACTGATTTTTTTTTCCTCTTTGTGAAAACTAACGAAGAACATTTTCAACTATTTTTGACCAGGAGGGTCACCTCGGATAGAGACATCTGTGAGAATCACAGATGTCTCTATCCGTGCTTTTCACAGATAGAGACTGTTAGATATTTTTTGGTATTATCATTTTGTTATTACTTTAGTTCATATTCAGTCTAATGTTAATCAGTATTATTGTGATTTTTAGTTTTAAGTGTTCTCTTCCTTATGTGTGTATAAAC